CCAACTCAATTTTTAATGAAAATAATTGTACCCTCATCTTTGCAAAAAAAAGGAAACCCACCCACCCCAAAACCCCCCCCCCCCTCCCCGCCGCCCCCTTCAAATGTGATTGAAATAAATAAGCCCCCTTGGGTCTAGATAGAGGATTTACAGTAAGTGTGTTTTGAGGTTGGTTATATTTTGAATGACTTATAGACATTGAGTTCGGTTTTTATAACACAAAAAGAATTACACATATCTTGCAGCTTGTTATCCACCTTGGTCTTCTGAATCAGTGGATAACACCCTCCTTGATCTGCATTATTATAATTCTTCATATCATACAAAAGCCAAATCCAATAATTATTGCTAAATACTGGTTTACAAAGAGAGGAAAAGTTAGACAGCAATTGTTCATAAGTACAAGCTGCTTATTTATTCACTTTTAAACACAACATTGCATTTTTACTATAAACAGTGCACAATAACTCCTTTTCTACTGTCTCAGACCAAATCTTAAGAGTGAGAAACAAAAGCTCCTAGTGTCTACTTAATTTCCTACTGAGACATGAGATGAGTCTTTGCTTGTGCTTGCCAATCATTTGCTTAGCTAACCTTGAGAACAAAGATGAACTTCTCAATGAACTCTAGTTTTAGACTGTTGCTTCTTGAAACGTTCCTAGAAGTACAATAGTTTCTCATGCAATAATACAATAAAATACTGAGTCACTGCAAGATTCTACATATACTTTTGAGGCTGAGATCCCAAGGTACCTACATGTAGTTTGGATGGGACTTAGAGGGTAAAATTGTTAAAGGGCTTTATCAGGGAACTGGTAGCACCTCTGGCCACATACTCTTGCAGAAACAATTCCAGATCATTTGGACCCCCTACTTCTGATTGACCAGAAAACATTTTCTGGATAATCAGAAGCACAGAACAGGTTCAGTAAGACTAAGGCCTCAAGTGCTCTCCCATTCTTCTTAAAAACTATACCTGTGATGATTTTACCCAGTAAGTCCCACCACGGCCCACCAGCTCTTTATCCCTAGGGGTGAACTAGTCTCCTTCGCAGCCATTTTCAAGCTCATCACGCAACACTCATTGCATGATGAGCCTAAAACAACTGTGAAGGAGACTAGGGGTGATCTTGCTATAGGGCAAAAACATCAGCTTTCATAAGTTAAGTCACTTTCTTTCCCTGACGGTGGTAAAGCGCAATGTTTGTATTTAGAAGTCCATAGTATTCTGCTTCTCTCTTGACTCTGTCCAGGCTTTTGCAATGGTTCTCTTCATTTCATCGTCTCCTTCATCATACATCTTTTTCATCAGATCCATTATCCCTTCTCCAGGATCCTTGGTCTCATCAAACTTCGGTTGCTGCTGTTTTATATTCTTCAAGTTCTCAGTCACTGTCAGACAAGACCAATTCTCTTCTTTTTCTTTCTTCAGCAGGATACTTAGTTTTCCTGATTTTATTTTCACAGAGCTTGACTCAGGAATAATAGGATGCAACAAGTGTACCATCTGAAACTCGTAGTTCTTGCCGTTGAGACCAAGTACTCTCAGCTCCAGTGACTTTCCAGTGAACTTCGAAGAAATCTTCTCCTCCGGGAGAGTTTCTACCTCTGGCAAAGTTATGTAAATTTTTACAAATTTTGGCGATTGATCCCAAGCGTACGATGTGATTTTTGTTAAGGATACTTGAGGTTTCTTCGACGGCTGCTTCTTTGTCCCTTCCGGGGAACCTGCATTTTCGATTCGTTTCTCCTCGGCATTGATCTCGAGTTCTACGCGAGCAAGCTCACCTTGTAGGAGCTTTTTAACCCGAGATTGCGTAGCTGATGATAGGAGGCTCTTAATTTCGTCTCTTGTATCCTTTAGCTCTTGAAAATTCTCCATACTAATGAAAAAAGAGTTCGCCAAATCTGCTCTTGACTGCTCTGATTCACGAACATGTGAGTTTGCGTCACTCGACCGAGGGACTGGGGCGCTAGAATCCAGTCTCTTGTATGCCCCCAAACTTTTAGAATAGACATGTTCCTTTCTCATTCGAAGTCCGTAGATTTGTTTTTATAGTTTTTTTAGCTGACCATGAAAAAATGGATAGTTCTTCTTGGTGGGGCTCTATTCTGTGTCCTATTTCTCTCCATGTACTTGGTAGTAGATCAGTTAGGACGGCTTCCCACCTCTCAAGAAATCTTCCAAGCTGAGGTAGGTTGCGAAGGTCTCCAAAAACAACTCTCAATGCAACTTTTACACGTCGTGGCTTTCAATTCATCCCCTAAAGCTGTTTATGAGACCTCTTAGCTTAAAGGTATTTATTTAAACGTCCATCGAATAATTATAAGATCTTAATTTACCAAAAGACGGAAAGGGATGAATTGGTGTAAAACGGTTGTAAAAAGCTCTTTTCTTCGTTTGCATACAATGACGATATGAATATCGGTTGAATGAAATCATGTGAGATTTCTGAAGCTTGTTGCCGGTTTTGCTACTTGTAATGAAATTCTGTTGGCTGCATGGAAAGTGTTTTCTGTCGATCCTTTACTTTATGCGCATTTTTGAAAAATATTGAATTGAAACGTTATCGTTAGCCGGTGTGCATGCAAAGTGCGCACAGATTCCCGCGAATGTTTTTACATCGAATCGCAGAAGAAAGTCGATCAATAAATCTTTAAAGCTTATAGTTTAATGAAAATATAAGCCTAAATATTCTTCTTGCACATTTTATTAGTTTTCTTTATTCAGGTTTTGAATTTGCTGAAGCCTGAGAAATACAAGAATACCAAAAAAGTAGTGTTTATTTATGTGTGCGGTTGCAGTGTGTTAGATTATAGATGTCTGCTAAAACGTTAGATTGAAAGTTAACGGTAAGCTTATATTTGAAAAGAAATGACCAGGCCCCAGTTGTTCAATTCCACCTATCGCGATAGGTCACCTATTTAGAGATAGGTCACCTATCACGTTAACCAAAGGGATTATGAATAGGCGACCTATCACTAAATAGGTCACCTATCACGATAGGTTGCATTGAACAACCGTGGCCAGCTGGCTTAAGTTGATAGTTTTAATTTCTGGGAAGTTACTTGCAATTTTCTAAAGAATGTACATTTGAAAGGTGGAGTAATTTTTGTAGCGGAGCAAAAGTAGAGGCAGTGATTTTTTATTTATGTATATTCATTGATTAATTCAGATAAAAGTATGGTAATTTTTTAAAGTTAAACCACCTGTTAGGATACAGCTGAGGAAATAAAAAAATTGGGGCACAGAAACTTATTTTTCCAAGCTGCAGAGCAGTGTTTCTAGAATGCAAAATTATTACTCACTAATTTTCGAAAGAGATAATAAGCAAGGCTCACAGAACTAAAATACCGGAAACTGTCGCTTATAAGCCCTGGGTTTATAAATCTTTGAAAGGGGTGTTGTGAGGGCCTTATATATAACTGGAATAGAATAGCGTGGCTCAAAACAAGCTACAAATGTTTGGTAGTGCTGATCAAAATACATTTTGTATTTACTGGTTTTTAATTAAGGCTCAAATACATGTAACAAATCAAATTCATAGGGCAGCGCTCCAGGCTCAACTTTTTTCAAAGCAACCTAAAATTACAAAATGGTCACCAAACATACAATTTCGGTCGCCAGAAAAAAGGGACACTACATGAACGTTTGAAAGAATCAAAATTGCTGCCCAACCATCGCAATTGAATTTGGAGGTGTCGCGACATCTCGAGGCTTAATACCCAGAAAACCTGGGTGAAATTAGGCAGATTATCAGGAAAACAGAGCATAGAATAAGGATATTTGATACAAATTTCTATCACACTTTAACTTATTAAAAAGATGAGAAACTACTAGAAAACCGCATCTCACAAAATCTCTGGAATTTCTTGGGAATAGCTTGGCATGTGATCGCTGGACATAGGTTGCCAAATTGGCAACTTCCACCGCAATATCAGTCGCCAAAATTTTTTTTCTACTCGCCATGGCAACCAAAATGGTCGCAGCTTAGAGCACAGTAGGGGGGCTTATAATTGGAGCTAGAAAGGGGAAGGATGTATTTTTATGTTTACAGGTAAAGGACCTTTAACTGGGGGCTGGGCTTTTAGGTGGCAGTATACAGTAGCCAGACAAATTCTCTGGCCCAAGGCCCATAAAAACAGTCCTCAAAATTTTAACCTTGTAGAAGGAAAGGTGGCAGACAAAAATATTATATATTGAAATATACAAGTTTGGTTAAAATGTTTGTTTAGGTCTACATATGAATGTAAGTGGTTTGAGCCTCTGTAACACTAGAGACAGTGGCCTTAGCTTCACCAGTGACAATATTACATGTACCCCTGGACCAGTTTTGCTTGATGAGTATTATTGACTGCATTTTGTTCAAGATTTCTTACACCAAAAATATTCTTCATTTGTCGAGCATTGCCTCACAAGGACCGGGCTCAAAAATCTCAATAGAAAATTAGAAATAATCACAAAGAGGAAAAAATAGCTGTTTCATTTAAGATCCTTTACTCCAGCAGTGTTTTGATCAGAAACGCATTAAAGTTTGCCGAACTCCCCAGGAAAAAGGTGAAATGATGAGGGAAAAACTTAAGAAAATAAAAAAAATAGAAAGCCATGACTTCTGTCTTAGATTTAGAACATAAACATGATGATGAAACATCCTAAAATCATACTCGATTCTAGTACATATGACAATGACACAAAACAAGGGGAGTGGTCACAACATTTGAGACTTTTATTGTACCCCATGTTAAAAAGCTACATTAAATGCAGCACAGCACCTACAAGGTTAGTATTTTGTTGTGGTTCAATTTTATCCTTGGCTTAATTTTTATTTTCTTTTGTTTTTGAGTATGGTAATGTATGGTATTCAGTTTGAAACAAAAGAAAATTAATAAAAATTGAACCAAGGATAAAACTGAACCACAACACATACACTATGATTGAATTGGAGTGAAGGAATCAAATTTCATCGCAGTTGCTGAGTATAGTTCAAAATATATGATTGTCTTTAGAAAAAAGTCCCGCTGTGACCAGTCTGAACTGTTTTAGGGTCGATTACCAACTGCTTTTCAGGAAAGGAGCCCATTTTCGGCAAAGAACAAGACTGGACCCTAGAGAGTGGTTGAAATTGAGATTGGAACTAATGCCCTACTATATGGAGCTTTTGACAAACTACATGGCCCAGGGAGGGGGGAAATTAGCAGTGTTTTTACACAAGGCCAATGTTAAATTCCTGGCTAAGTCCCGGAGGTAGGGGGGGGGGGCGGAGTTTCAAGTGACTGATGCATAAAATGTTGAAAAAAGCCTATTAGCATTCCCAAAACTCACACACCTAATTTGATTTATTAACTCAGTATATTTTTACTTTTTTATTGTCCTTCAGAGAAAACAAAATGTTGAGGATCCTCTGAGAGTTCTTGAAAGGGATATGAGTAAACTAGAAGGGAACTTGAAAAGAACTGGCAAAATTATGAACAGTATGCAGCAAACTGTAGACAAAATAAAATTCCACGGTGGCAAACCAGGGCACAATAAACAGCGTGAAGAATTGTTAAGGAGGACGTCACCAGGCAAACAAGGTGAATCTCTTGAGAGAAGGCCTGAAGTACAAGGTGGAGATGTTGACAATGGCTGTGTGTTCTCAGCAACAGCATCAGGAAAATCAGCAAATGTGAAGGTAAACTTTTCTTAGAGGGTGGGTGCACCATTTCAATCCTTTTATTCAGATTATGTGCCTTTTTTCAGGGCTTAAAAAAAGTATCATCCAGTTGAGTGGGACTAGTAGCTTTTTTTGTTGGGCAAGTAACTTTTAAAACTCAGTCGTCCAATGGGCATGAAATATGCTTATATGCTAAAGCACAAACTGGCACGCAAACAGCAAGCTATTGCAACAACACTTTGCGAAGAACGGCAAGCAGGCAACTGCGTATCTAAGTCACAAGGTGCCCCTGCTAGAGGCATCGGGCCACCCCCACTATAGCTGGGGAAACAGCTGACCAGCATTGCTTCGAGGTTAACTTGGCCTAAATTACATTTAGCCACATTTACATGGGGTATGTTTTTAGCTTATGTTCTCTGGTTTCTAAATTACCTCACCTCACCCTCGCACAAGATTTTTCAGGGTTACAGGGTGTTACGCAAAATTGTATTGTGTAACTAGCGTGACTTTCTAGAAGCTTCGCAAGAGTTCATAGTTTGTTTATTTTAGGACCTTGTGTAAGCGTTTCTAAAGTGGTATATTTTGTAATCTTTCTATAATTAGACAATTTAATTTTTTTTTTTGAATTGTTATCATATCAGTGTTGTCATCGATTGATTATAGATGTTGGATATGTTTGATGTAATGCCATTTGATAATATTGATGGCGGTGCATGGAAACAAGGCTGGGATGTGAAGTATGATGACAGTGAATTTGATAAAGAACAACTTAATGTATTTGTGGTCCCTCACTCTCACAATGATCCAGGTAAATGCAGTTTTGTCTTGATTCAAAACCAGTGATTAACATTGGTATGACCTTTGATATGAGTTTTATCTGCTGGACTTAACACAGACAAAATTTGCTATTTAATAACTCCAAACTGAAAACTTAAGAGTGTCAAAGTTCAAATTCCAGAATAATACCAAATTTCTTTCTACTGAATCATGAAAAACAAATGGTCATATGCCAACTACTATTGAAGAGATTTCATTTAAATGATGACACCACTCAAATGAATTGGATTTTCTCTTCAGACTCAAAAGTACATGTAAGAACCATGTACCAAATAAATTACATTGTATAGTACCACTGGAGACAGATTTCCTTTGAATGATTACACCATAGGATTCCAGCCACATGAATGAAAAGTCAGTCTTCAGATCAGCCTTTCCAAAATGCAATGCTTGCTGCTGCATGTACGTAAGCATTGCTAAAAATGACTTTTCTGTGGGGTGTTATAGTTGGCAATAATATTGTCTCAGGCAATGTTTCTCACAACAGTGATATCAAGTCACAAGAACAAATTAATGCAAAGTTTAACAGGCCTTTAGTGATCTCAAGAGCCATGGCATTGGAGTTTTTGCTCCCATGGTAGTTGTAGCCATGTTATCTTGGGCAAGGATTAGAGGACATGTTAAGAACAGCCTCTCCAGGTTGGGGGTTTGATATGGGCCCAATTACCCTTCTGTGTAATAAAATAATAGACCTTTTTACCGATATGGCAGCCATATTGAGTTAATTCGATTTAAGGAGTATTATAGGATGTCCAGGGACATGAGCACATTTTCGTATGTATTTTCAAGCGCTTTTCGGGTCATTTTTTCTTAAAGTTTTCTTAGAATAAGATTGTAAAGGGAAAAAAGATCCTTGTGCCATGTTTGGATGTAATAATGATTGCCTTTTTCTACTTTAGTATTAGAAATATGGTCTTTCACTGTATATTTCTCGAGAAAAAGGTGATCATTATTACATTGAAACACGGCACAGGGATCTTTTTCCCCATAACAATCTCATTCTAAGAAAACTGTCCCGAAAAAATGTCCCGAAAAGCGCTCGAAAATACAAACAAAATGTGCTCATTCCCCCTGGGCATCCTATAATACTCCTTAAATCGAATTAATTCAATATGGCTGCTGTATTGGTAAAAAGGTCTATTTGATTGTGGAAATAGACTAAAAATTTCTATATTTATTAATAACTATTTTTTTTGTCTTTTTTTTTTGTGTTCTAGGGTGGATCAAGACACTAGACCAGTATTACACTCAGCAGACAAGACACATTCTAGACAATGTAGTCGATGCCCTAGCAGTAGATAAAAGAAGAAAGTTCATTTGGGCAGAAATATCTTATTTCTCAATGTGGTGGGGAGAAGTTGATGACAAAAGAAAAAAGCTTGCTCTAGAGTAAGAACTTTTTCAATATTGGCATTTCAGTTGAACCTCCATAAAGCAGCCACCCTCCAGGTAGCGGCAAGTGGTCGCTTAACCCTTTAAGCCCCAGTATCCACATACAAATTCTCCAAACTGATCCCTATACATTTCCCTAAAGAATGAGTTGAGATAATTTGATAATAGATCAAGGGCGAAGGCATTTTCTCTTGTGTGATCATTTTATAAATTCTCATAACTTATCTCTTGATAGTGTATGGATATTGTTTGGAGAAATTTGATCTTGATCACTATTGGGACTTAAAAGGTTAATGGAGGTTGGCCGCTCAATTGACTTCTGTCGTAAATTAGCATAATCTTTAGCAGAGACATAGAAGCAAATGCAGGGAAGCATTACTGATCCACAATCGGTTGTCATCTTCTATCTTAGACAGTATTTTCCTTCATCATATTCTTGAAATGAAGCCAAACTAAGTGTATCAAGCGCTTGATGGCCACTTGACAGAGGTTACAACAATGAGAGAACTCTTGTTGGGATAGCCAAAATGTGGCCGCTTAATAGACGTGTAATTTCCCATTCTTTTTTTACAATCATTTTGGGACTTTGATTACTGGCTGCTCATTAGTGGGTAGCTGCTTAATGGAGGTTCAACTGTAGTTAGTAATGGAAATTGAAGGCCATCCCTTTTTCTTTATACATGTAAAACCCTGAGTATTAGTATGGGCTTGGTGATCAAACCTCCGACCTCCTGCTTTGCATTCAAATGCTTTACTGACCCAGGTAGTCCTGCAGTTGTTGACTGACACCCACTTAATGTGGAAACCTCGTTATTACAGAAAGTTTTCCTTGTCCCTAGCCCTTACATTGTCTCTGAATTCAACCTGCTTATAATAATGAGGACAAATACAGACACTTTCTAAAGTCCTGTTATTGTCCATGTTAACTGGGTTTGACTGTACAACCAACATTTTCTGGGATGGATGTTTTAGAGACCAATGTCAAATGACCATTTTACATGTGTAGTTAGAGAGGTCTCTGCATTTCCATTTTCGGGAGGTGTCAGTCTTAAGGAGGTTTTTCTAAGTGGCGGTAGACTACATTTGTATTGTGGCAAGATGAAAAATAGACCTAGGCCTGCCAGGTCTGATAAGAGGGTTACATGTTTATTGTTATTATAGGAGTGTTGGATCTACTATTGTTATAGGAATTGTCATCATTTTATTAATCTAACAAAATTGTCTCTTGCAAAAAAGTGTGAACTCCAGGCTTCTTAGTGCTGTCCCTTACCTTGTCTTTGCCCTCTGTGTATCCCCCCTTCACATTCCTGCCTCAACCACTATCACTGGGACCCTGGTAGAATGGCCAGACCTTTGCTGCATATTTGCCTAGATGACAAAGAAATTTTCCCCATTAGTGCCAGAAGAAAAACAAGAAGAACAGAGGAGAGAATGTACATGTTGATTTAGTTTGTGCTATTATTCATTGACTCTTCACTCCTGAAAAAGGGCCAATCCTCAAACTGACTTATTTGATTAAAAGCACACTTCTTGATAACACACTGAATAAACATTTTATTCCTTAGGCAGCTAAGCAGTGGTCAACTAGAGATTGTAACTGGTGGGTGGGTTATGAATGATGAGGCCAATACTCATTACTATGCTATGCTGGATCAGTTGATTGAAGGGCATCAGTGGATTGCAAAGAATCTGGGTTCAGGTCAGTTAATTGCCATAAAACCTTATTTTTTATGTTCATGAAGGTATCTGAAAGATTTGCATTAAAAAGGGCCCCTGGTGAATTGATCCAATGACAACTTCTCCCATTGTGTTACAAACAAACATGAGGCAATGTGGAGAGAGAATCTATGAATCAGAAGTCTGTGGGGCTATTTTTCTGGCACGTTTAGGGTCCCTATACAATTGAGGACCAACCTGATGCCCCTGACTTGCTCTACACAGTTTGTGATTTGAAGAGTAAATGAAACCAGCCACAGGCAAAAATTATGCATGTATATTGTACTCATCCTTTTAACAATATCCTCTAGGTGATAAACTTACTTTTTTTTGTAATTGGTTTAATGAATTTGTAGATTGTTACTATTACATGAAATAACAATATTATCAAAAGGTACAATCACACCAAGGAGGCCAAAAGTGGACCTCCTTTAATTAACTCACATTCTTTCATGCAGACATAAACCAATCAGAAGTCAAGGACAGTTTCCAGCTGGTTTCTGATTGGATTAAATCTGTACGAAAGAATGTGAATAAATCAAAAGTGAACAGCTTTTGGGCTCCTTGCTGTAATATGGGTGGGGTGGTATGTTTTAGAGCAGAATTTTGGGATTATGCAAAAAAAAATTACAGGATGCTGAAATCAACAAGGCAATCTTCCAGACCTCACCAGTACCTTGTTACATCTCCACTCCCAAAAGTTCATTTGTTTTGGACCAGTTACATGTAAATGGCACAAGAAGCTGCCTACAGTGCCCTCTTAATCACTCAAAGAATTGTTCTTAGATTGTAACAGGAGAGGAATTACCCTTTCTGAGAAATTAAAATACAGTAAAGGGATAATAGGGCTTGTCTAAGGGGTTGTAACTACTTAATGTAATCGTTATTTTTCTATATTTTACTAGGAATAAAGCCTATGTCAGGATGGGCCATTGATCCATTTGGGCACACACCCACAATGGCATACCTTTTGCGACGCATGGGGTTTCACTCCATGTTAATTCAACGAACTCATTATCAAGTCAAGAAACACCTTGCTAAAGATAAAAATCTGGAGTTCATGTGGAGGCAAAACTGGGGTAAGTCTTTTGCTCAGAAAGTCTAAGTGTGCAAATATGTTATTTTCTTTCTCTATGGATATGGCTTAATATTTAATTGTGTTGCCATATTGTATTTTCACACTCCCTTATTTAGAATCCTAGGCCATCTTTGGACGAGCAGCTGTCCTATTTTTCTTGCCTGGGGCAACTACTTGCTTGTCTTGTTAATGATTTTGTTGGAGAATGACTTGCCTGGACTGTTGTCCATTGGAGTTACCTGCACAGTGAGAATATATCTACTTGTCCGGGGACTTTTTTCAAGACCTGTTGTGTATTGATTGAAAATTAACGCCTTGAATTTCAGATCATGGATCATCAACAGATATGTTTTGTCACATGATGCCATTTTACAGCTATGACATTCCCCACACTTGTGGTCCTGAACCCAAGGTATGGCAAAATGAAATATTAATGTATGTTTGGAAGGAGATGTCTCGCCCTTTGTTTTAAACTTAACCCTTTCCCTACCATGCCACCCTCTATCTGAAAGCCCATATTCAAAGCAATACAGTAGCTTCAAAATTTATGAGAAATCCTGTGTTGTGTTGATAACGTACTCCACTACTTGAGGCTTAACTCACCAGAGGCTTAATGCATTTGACAGCTTCTTGGTCATAGCTGACAACACCAGTTTAGAATGAGTGGGCACTATAAAATACCTTGGTGTTATTTCTAATAAATCCGTCTTGGATAAAGCATGGCTGCTCTAGGGAGAAAAATATCTTCTCTCGATTATCATTTATGCATCACACTTGAAAGATCCTGTCAAAATCAATGATTGAATGAATGAATTCAATAAAATAGACAGGTATTATTTGCTCGCCCATAATCCAGGCTAACAGTAATGATTTCTTGTGATTTTATTAATTGTTTGGGGCCTTTCACCAATTTTATTATTAGATGGCTTGTATAAACTAAAATACAGTTTTGTAGTGGCTCAGTCTCTCTAACAGAATCAATTCAGTGCCTCTTTACTCTTTCTTTAGATTTGCTGCCAGTTTGATTTCCGCCGCTTGCCTGGTGGTGGTGTTACTTGTCCTTGGAGAATTTCTCCTGTAAGAATTGATGACAACAATGTTGCCCAAAGGTATTTTACAGGTGTCTTTGAAAACTCTGTTCATTCTATTGGTGACTGATGCTCAACAGTAGGAGGGAGTTGCAACTCTTTTTTTAATACATTACATTTTAATTTTTGGTCAAGACATGTCATGTGACCACAATTAAAATAATGTTAAGGCACAAGAAGACCTCAAGATTTACTTGTAGAGAAAATTTCTTTGTTCTAGGCCTCCTAGCACAAGATATTGTCATTCAATTGTATGCTCGAAAAACACACCTTTTACCCAGGCCTTAAACCCCTTGAGATAGCAAATAAGTCCCTCCATCCCCTCCCCCCTCACTTTTTTTTAAATAATAGAGGTACAAGGAGAATCTTTTTCTACTGGTTTATCTTTTAACCCGCTCACCCTGCAAATTTGGCTGAAAAATGCATTTTAAAGCTAGTTGAGCCTTGTTCAGTCACAATTTTGGCCAAAAAGTACCAAACTGTGCAAAAACACCGTTTATAAGTTGAGCACTACGCTATTGTTCCTGATGCTTAACATCAGTTTCCCAACATTGGGCATGCATAATGCTTTCTCTCCTTCCACTTCTTTCACTTTTTTTCCTCTTTTTTGGAGGGGGGCATTTACAAGACTTTGTGAGAAATGTCTTGAGGAAAATTGTTAGGATTGTAGGATTATTTTTAGGATGTGTAGTCGGGTAGTATGGATGATGTTGTGGTTTTTTTTCATTTGAAAAGGTAGCCATAATAAGGTTTTTGAAAGAAAAACTTAATAGGAAATAGGCACCCCCTGTCCCCTTGGTCAAGATCACCATCCCATAACTCTTAATTTGTGCTGGAAGCCTCCATTGCATGATCTGACAATATTACATTCATCTTCTTGGAATACTGTTTCCCCCTGCAGGACTTCTTTCACACAGAGGCACTTGGAAAAGGTTGAAATGTTACCTGGAATATTGTGAAACAAGCTATGCCTTAAAACTTTCTGATGACTTCATTCTGTTTTCTTACAGGTCACGAATGCTACTAGATCAGTACAAGAAGAAGGCACAACTCTACAGGACAAATGTCTTGTTTGTGCCATTGGGAGATGACTTTCGATATGAGACAACATTTGAAATTAATGCTCAGTATGGTAATTATCAGGTATGAGAGCATAATTTTTCAAGTTTGACCGAGTTCACACTCAAAAGCAGGTCATTGTTGTGTTGAGCTGAGAAAGGTTTCCTTTCACCTTAGGGTCTTCTCCTTTTTTGCATGGAAGAAGGAAGGTAGTATTTGATGACTAAATGTAGAGGCTGTGTTATCAGTGCTTAGTATTTTGTGTAATATTCTTCTCCACAGAGACTGATGGATCATATAAATTCTCATCCAGAGCTAAAGGCCAAGGTACCTGTTTTTATCTTACTTCATGATTAATCATCAAATTGTAACCAGCATTCTGATTTTACATGCCAAATAATTTATGGAGTTGAAATACCATTAAAATATTCATTTAATATTCTTTACAAGTATGTTTTATTTATTCACCATTCATCTCAGTCTATTATCCGTGGCAAAGTACACACAGCTACTTCATCGTGGCATCATAAAACCACGTCATCAAGAAAGTGCAGGGTTGAACAAAATTTCTAAAAAAATTATGCGAGGTCATTTTTTCAAGACCTAGATGTAAGATAAACAGATTAATGAACAACGCCCTGTAAGCTTGCCTCAATGAGGAATGAAAGTGTTGAGACACTTCTATACGATGGCCCCTTTTTGCATAGTGGACATATCCATCACTTCCCCCTCTGTACCCCCACCCCGTCCTCCTAAAATCAATGTTTTATTTTAAACCCTCAAGTCTGTCTTTTACTGCAAACAACATTTATTTGGGATGGGGGGATTTATGGCATTTAAATAGAATGACACAATTGTCTAAAACAACTGCTTTTATCAACAATTATTGTTGACAAAAGCACTTGTTTTAGACAAGTGTGTCAACTGCTTCTGTCCCTGATTATAGGTACTGCCCAGTTGATTAGTGTATTGTGAAACATACTGCAAGAACTTTCAATCTGTTCATGGGAAACACTACAGGAATGAAATATTTGCTAGTGTCTTGCAGCAGTAGCTTAAGCTCATTTGATAACCAGCTATGCGAGGCTAAAAAAAACTTGATTCAGTACCTTGTCCTTGGGCAAGCAGCTCCTCCATTTTGCTTGCCTGAGGCCACTACTTGTTTGTCTTAGTGAAAAATTTTCTTAGAGGATGACTAGCCTGGACCGTTGTCCATTGGTCAAGTAATAACCTTTAAAAGTTACTTGCCTGGCAAGAAAGCTACTTGTCCTGGATTACCAGATGGGACTTTTATTGAGCCCTTGTTATGTCTATATCAGGGTTTTAAGAAGCCAGATGGTCGATTAGGGAAAAAACCTGATCATAGACTGACCACTGTATTTTACTCATTTATACAACCATACTAAAAATACATGACCAACTTGATAATAATAATTTTGTTAAAATTCTTGTTAATAGCATATGCTTGTTTTTCATAGGTGCAATTTGGGACTCTAAGTGACTATTTCAATGCTCTGTATAAAACCACTGGTATGACTTCAATGTGTACTTGCTCTTTCATTAAATTCACATTTTACATTTTGATTGTGATTAACGTAATGAAATCTAATCTGACCTCTTCTTCCTTTCCATGGCTAAACCCTGAAATTAGTGTTGTAGCTAAGCTAATCAAAACCATTATTTCTTACTAGGTTCTGCGCCTGGGAGTCAACCAAAAGGTTTTCCTGCCCTAAGTGGGGATTTCTACACATATGCTGATAGGTACTGCTATTAATTTGCATACAGTGTGTGCTATTTTTAGATGGACCATGGGGGAATTGAACTGAATTCCCCTTTCAGATCTGGAAGGCAATTATAATTACTCCCTTGGCCAATTTCTGCTGCATTATAACAGGTTTGTTTTTGGTGTGTGAAGCTATCTGTCGTGAACAATGCTTTACTTGGGGAAGTGATAGATGATAGCTTTTTAAGGCTTATTTTATATCAGCAGACAATGGAATGGTGTTAGAGGACATGTACAGATGGTTGTGAACTATAAATTAGTACTGAAAACAATGTAGCCTACGTGTAGCCCCCGGGAGAAAATAAATCTCATTTTTGCTTCCGCAGTGGAGCCAGAGGGTGTAACTGCACTCATTCTAAAAGGAATGATCCCTCCCTTGTTCATCAAAAAGTCTTTTTTGCCCCCTTCTGTCTGTATAGATAATTGACTGCTTACCTATGTTTGAATAGAATGCTTGATTTAAAATTGTACAGTATTGTTTTCATGACTTTTAATGTGTATTACCTACAGTATGTCACAAGGGCATTAAATACATGACCTTTTTCACAGGGACGATCATTATTGGAGTGGTTACTACACCTCAAGACCATTTTACAAAAGTATGGACAGAGTTCTGGAGTCACACCACAGGTATTAATGCCTTCTCACTAGTCTTCTTAATTCAATGAATAAATTATGTTGCATTTGATTATCACCATTATCACACAGTAAGATCTTGTAATAATTGAAAAGTAAGAAAATTAGCGTTTTAGGTGATGTATTTTCTTTCTGTTTTTCTTGTTTTACTGGGTCATTAATTTGTGCACCTGCAAGGTGTTTTTGTACCATGTGACCATTTATTTAATTAAACAGGACTATTCTTGTCAAGCCTGAATTTCTTTTAGGTGTCTTTGACATTAATTTGTAATTTGAATACATAAATGTGGGGGCTCTTCCAACACTCGCACATTTACCCTAAATTCTCTATTAAGCCCCCCCTTCTCTAATAGGCCCTCCCTTTTCAAGGTAAGAAAGTTAATAAGCCCCTCTCTCTTTTCAGCCCCCCTCCCATCCCCCTTATTTTTCTTTCACACTGTATTAACTGTATTAATCAATCTCGGCTGTAAAACCTCGTGTGGATTGATCCAGGATGGTTTATTCATGTGGCGGAAGTTCGGATTTGTTTTTTTTCCTCGGCTGCATGACCTCCAACTTCTTGTACTTGAGCTTTTCCACTTTGCATTCTTGTCCTTTATGGAGAACTGGGTCCATCGTCTAAATTGCTGATTTAAATAAGCCCCCCGTCTCTCTCACCTCCCCACCCCCCAAACCCCCAAACCCTTCACAGTTACCCCCCCCCCAGCTACAGGCTTCCAACGCACCTCCTGCTACACCTTCCTTCCTTGATCTTTGTACTCTTTGATTTGGTTTATTTGTCGTTTTCTGTTTAGTTTTTTTTTACATTTGTCGTTGTATGTTCTTAGTTGTTTGTTGGGTTGTTTTTTCATTGGGGGGAAGTTCGGTTTTTTTTTTTTTCCTCGGCTGGCTGACCTCCACTTTCTTGTTCTTTGGCTTTTCCCTTTTGCTTTTTTGTCCTTTATGGGGAACTGGGTCCATCGTCTAAATTGCTGTTTTAAATAAGCCCCCCGTCTCTATTAAGCCCCCCCCCCCCCAACACCTCTCAAATGTGTTTGAAATAAATAAGCGCCTGGAGGGCTTGATACAGAATTTGTGGTAAATCCGTCCTGCTTGGTATTTTGTAGACTATCAATGGATTTGTTAACTTGCTTTTTGTGTCTGTTTTGAAGAGCTGCAGAAATAATGTTCTCGTTGGCTGAATCACATGCTCGTCACTATGGCAGTTCAAGCTTTTCTGTTGAGAAACTGTATGGCCTCCTGACGAATGCTCGCCAGAATCTGGGCTTGTTTCAGCACCACGATGGCATCACTGGAACAGCTAAAGACTTTGTGGTTATTGATTATGCAACAAGGTCTGTGCTAATGTCTAGAGAGAGATTTTGGTTTTACATAGTGGTAGATGTAATGAAAAGTAAAAACAGAGTTATCAGTAGTTGACTCGGAATATTGATTGCAATATTTTAGCTCATTTTGACCGCAGTGAGGAGTGATTTGCGCCAATCACTGGTGATCATTGTGATACTAAAGTCACTAAAGAAGTAGACAACAATTGTCCATAGTCTATACTCTGACTTATACCATAATAATGTTTTGAAAATGTTCAAAACTCTCAGTGCTGTTTTTGATGTCCATTTCCCTTGACGTTTCTCAGAAAATTGGGCGTGCAAGAAAGAGAAAGAGAAATTATTGTGCAACCATCGTGTCATTTCCGTGGTCTCTACTGTTATTGACCATAGCTCTTGGCCAAATCGCACAGTTATTGTAAAATATGTTTACTTATCACCCTGTCCCAACCTCATCACCTGCAGAAGACTACATGTAGCAATAATTGTGATCTATATTCAGGGTTCGCACGCACCTTGAAAGTTCTTGATAGTCCTTGAATTTTAAAATAAAAATTCAAGGCCTTGAAAGTCCTTGAAAATTGCAGTCGGTGCTAGAAAGTCCTTGAATTTCGGTACTAACTTTATCCAACCCAGATTCTCAAGTGCCTAAAAGGAGCAAACAGAGAAAGACCTTCAGGATAAAATTGCTCATGTTGTGGAAGAACTGAAAAAAGACATAGACTCAAGGCTCTTTTTTGCACTGAGAGGAGTCCTTGAAAAGTGGGAAATGCGTCCTTGAAAGTCTTTGAAAAGTCCTTATGAATTTTTTGTTCAAAAAAGGGTACGAAACCTGTATATTCATCTGTTACAATTACACTAAATTGCATCAACAGAATGTTACGCTCTTTGAATGACATGCAGCGAGTGATACAGGACTCCTCCCATTTCCTGTTAACATCTGACAAGTCGCACTACAAGTTACCAGACCAACATGCACCTCCTCTAAAGTTTGTATGTACACTTTCTTTCCTGTGTTAAAACATTTTGATATTGATAAACGTTAGTGTGAGATTAGGAAAACACTTTAGTCATAAAGCGCAAGAGAGAATTATCCGAGGGCGAGGCTGCCTGCTGTCATAGGCAATTTGACCATCATGCAATAAAAATAATTAAAAGAGAGTATTGAAGTTATGTTTATACACTGAACTCATTATTTTCCTCCCCTTTCATGTAGGAGGAAAGCAGATTAGGTCATGATTCATTACCCACAAAAGAAGTCATAGCAGTCTCTGACACTCCAAGGTAACTTGAAAATATTTTAATCACTTGTTGCTGATTTCAAGGATAGAAAGATTTAGTAAAGTTAGATGTTTAAGCATAGACGTTTTTGAGGGATGCACGTCAAGCAGAAGTCGACATGTTGCAATACTCGGCAGTGGGTTCGCTTAAATCTTTGGGCAAGTCATCTCAAAAAGAGCAGAGACACTAAGCATTACGAATTTGGTAGCGTCGAGATATATTAAAAAGGGAAAACTCCTCACTTTGCTTAAACTCACTATTAACACCCTGTAAGACGACAAGTCATCGAGAATTTGGAGTAACAAGCCCCTGCTCTTGGTGAATTGGTTTGAATTTCAAGGTTTTGATGTCTAAACTGATCAAACAGGATGAATTTCATTTTAGCTCTTACAGTCAGCTATCAGCTAGGGCCGTGGATTACCTGTAAACCAGCTGATTGAGCTAAAACCCCACGTTAAATAAACTATCGTATCGTATCGTATCGTATTAGTAACAAGTTTTTTAATTTTAGTCACTATACCCCTCTTCAGAACCTCCATTCTAGGGAGAATGGGTACAAGCCTTGGGTGCAGTGATGTCTAAGATCGTTTAGGTGGACAAGCATTAGTTATCATTGACCGATGGTATTCAAGGCGACGATTAACCAATCATTAGAATACGCTTGTCCACCCAAATGATCTCAGAAATCGTTTTGCCAAGAGCTTGTACCCATTCCCGTTATAGTTTCTGGAGTTCACCATTTTCACATGGCCATAATGCAGCTTGTTTACCCCCCCAATAAATTTGCATGACCAGTCTTGCAAAATTTTGTGGTTAAACAACATGCATTATGGTCTATGTGAAATTGGTGAGTGGGAAATTAACCTTAGGGAAAATTGTATTTAACAGGGCAATAGTATTGTACAATTCCTTGACGACAGCAAGAGAACAGATCGTCAGTCTCCACGTCTCCGATCCAGTAGTAATGGTATGAATAGTTAAAAGTTATGAATTTTAATGAACACGTTTACATTAATGAATCGAACGAAACAATTGCCAAAAATATTGTAAACATGGAAAACAAAGATTTTTGTTACATCAAACAATAAGTGGAGAATTTAGGGGAAGTAAAGGTGGCGCAGTTTCCCATCGCGGTCAAGTGTCTGATGAATTTATTGGGCTTTAAGTGGAAGCATGGGGAAGCATTTTTAAAAAAATAAGTTTATGTAACTTTCTTCAAATTTATATTTAAGTAATAAACTTTAAACGCTTCATGCCTGTGCAAATTTATGTTGACAAAAGGGTGCGAAAGTTTCATTGATTTCATTTTCCAAACACTTAAAAGTTATAAAATGTTTAGTAAATTAACAGCGTGTTTAAAATATACTTAACTTTGAACAGTGAAAGTATCAACCTTAGTTTTGAAGTACTTTGCTTAACTTTGATAATAATAATGGTAATGGTATTGATGATGATGATGACGATGATGATGTTGTGCTTCGCAAATGTTTTTTCGATTTGTTTTTGGCATTTTGTCAGGTGAGCGATAGTGATGGAAAGGAAGTTCCAAGTCAAGTAAACGTGTGGTGGGATCACAGGAACAGAATATCAACTGCCAAATATGAGGTAAGTATTGTAATTCCTCAGCCAAAGTTCAGTAACGCACTTCAGGGTGTTAGTGCATGGTGAAGAGGCGGTGATTAGCTCTTTTATAGCAGCCAGGCAAGCTCACTGTTTAATTCTCGCTCGAGAGCGGCGAGGCTTAGTTCTCTTTCTTAGACAGTGGATGGCATTATTGGGAACCAATTCTTTATATAGGGTTTATGTAGTGGATACTCCGAATTAGGATGGAATGTTAATATTATAGAAATAGGATTAGGATCTTGCCTTGCTAGGTTAGTCAGCTCTTTTTGCACATCCTTGTGTTTGTTTTTGTTTGTGTTTTAGAATTAAATTACTCATCGAGGAATAGTGTTCTACTAGTAGTTTTGTTTGCGATTTTGGAAGAACAAGCTATAAAGAGAAAATTAGCTTTCAGTTAGCAGTCAAAAGCAAAAGCTGTAGACTATTTGATGGTAAACGCAGAATTCTTAGGAGTAGTCATATTATAACACTTAAAAATTGACTTGTTCACTAAAAGCGTTGTTGGTTTTGCTTTATTTTCAGGTCGTGTTTTTAGCCAAAGTTTCACCGCTGTCTTTGACCACATATTTTGTGTCATCAGGACTGGGGTCAAAACTGAACGAACGTTCTGCTATCACTGCATATAACGCACCTGAAACGTCACAAAACTTAGGGTAAGACGTTGTGATGGAATATTGGACCTTTTTTGCTTGTAGGTTTCATTTTCCCAATGGGCCATTTGCACGATCGCGTCAATTTACTTCTACGACCAGAATCCTTTCCGTTTTCCCTTTCATTTTCAAATTTGGTAATCCCAGCGAGGTTCAAATGACAAAAGCTCTAATTTGCACAAGAAAGCAAAACCCTGAAGGATTCTGGTAGTAGCAGTAGAATGGCGTCATCATGCAAATCGCCTATTCAGACCACGTGATGTTCTCAAGGGAATTGGCCTTTTGTTTTTCAGTTAGTCATACACGCATATGCAGGTGGAAGGCGCGAGATTTGAAAGAAACTGTTCTCCGGGGTAACATTATGTTGTCTGCAATGGGAAAACAAAACATGCGAGCTAAAAAGGTCCATTGCTTTACAAATCCAAACCCTCTCGGCGCAAACTTCCCAAATCAAATCAATACTTGATTGCGTTCGACATAGGAGAGCGCATTCCTAATCTGGTGTTGGTGGGTTTTGCTGGGGTTCATTTGTGTCAAGGCAAATTTTTGATTTGGTAGATAGTCTTTCGACCTGCCCCTCTCCTAGGAGGAGGTGTAACGTTGTTGATGTCCACAAGGTTTTCTCTTATGGGGCGCCAAATGCATTTTTATTATTTAGAGTGGTTATTTGTATATAACCAAAACAATGTTGGTTATTTACAAATAACCACATTACAGTTTTATTATTCCTAAATAACCAAAATGTAAAGTTGGTTATTTACTAATAACCAAAACTGAAATTTGGTTATTTAGCAAATAACCAAAAATTAAAAAGTGGTTATTTCTAAATAACCAAATGCGAGGTTGGTTATTTATTAAATAACCAAAATGCGATATTGGTTATTTATTAAATAACCAAAATGCGAAATTGGTTATTTGTTAAATAACCAAAATGCGAATTTTGTTATTTATTAAATAACCAAAATGCGAAATTGGTTATTTGTTAAATAACCAAAATGCGAAATTGGTTATTTATTAAATAACCAAAATGCGAAATTGGTTATTTAATAAATAACCAAATGCGAAATTGGTTATTTATTGAATAACTAAAGTGCAGGCAGAATGGAAAATTGGTTATTTATAAACAAACTGGACAGTTGGTTATTTAGTAAATAAAACATGGACGATTAAAAATCCAAAAATGTGCAAAAATGGTTATTTAATAGAGAAATGGTTATTTACCTTATTTGGCCTTAGCAAGTGGCCACGTGGCCCATTTTTCCGCTCATCTCCCATAACGACTTGCAGACTTCTATTTCCAACATGGCTTCTTCCAAAAACATAGCGCGGTTAAATGCAGAAATGGCTCTGAGCTGCTTTGAAGTTAGCTACTGACCGATCCAAATCTGATACATGCCACTGCAGACTGTTCACAGTCCCTATTTTTCCGGAAGATCGTCGAGATCGAGCACTAACCAGGGGGCAGGGGGCGGTTTGGGAGGAAGCGAGAAAAATAGTCCCTGAGTAGTTTTGACGCTCATATAAGATGGCTGCCCGCTACGCAAAGCCTATTGCGACAGGATTCTCTAATCATCCTGATATTGTAGAATTCTGTAGGTACTTTTGATCACTGGTCAAGCCAATCTTTGCCCAAAGAGATCTCAGGAGCAGGAAAGTAGCATTTTCCTGCGTATCAATTTACTGACAATGTCCCGAGGAAAACGCTGGAATAGGAATTCTGAGACCCTAAATATAAAGATTGCCCCCAGATCCCACTAGGTTGGGTCGCCTTCGACACTACAACTTTCCTCCCTACTTTCGTGCGAAAGGTTTATTAGAAGATACATCATTATGATAACTCGAAAGAACAGACGGGAGGCAATCTTAATTCTCCATTCGGCAAGTGATATGACCAAGAAAATTGTAAAAGAAATCGAAAAGAGAGACACTTTATTTGGTATTTCATTCAGTTTTTGGCAAGTACAGAATTGAATTTTATGGCCAAAATGTGAGATCAGTCGGGAAAATATATACCTCGTTAAGACCCTGTTGTATAACAAAACAGTGTAAAATACGATACGTTTCACGGAAATGCAAAATTATTTTTGTATATGTGTAATGTCTGAAGATTAAAGGACAAGGGAACAAATTAGTCAGAAATGAATAATGTGACGGCACGACAATTCGTTGGATAATCTCTGGACTATCATGAAAACTAACTGAAGTAGATGACGGTAAATGAAGACTAATGGTGGTAGATGTAGGCGTATGAAGGTAAAAGAAGGCTAATGAATGTAGGTGACCGTGGATATAGGCTAATTGGGGTAAATGAAGGCTAATGGAGGAAGATGACGGTAGATGAAGGTGAAAGAAGGCAAAGGTTATTGAAGGCCTTTGTAGGTAGATGAATATTAATGACGAGGGACGAGTGTGAATGAAGGTAAATGAATTAGAATGAAGGTGAATTAAAATAAATAAAGGTGAATGAAGATTAATGAAAGCGAATGAAGGTGTACGGAGGAAAATAAAAGTAAATGAAGGAAAATGAGGGTGGAAGAAGGTAAATGAAAGAGGAAAGTGAAGGAAGTGGAAGAAGCCATGTTGGAAATAGAAGTCTGCAAGTCGTTATGGGAAATGAGCGGGAAAATGGACCACGTGGCCACTTGCTAAGACCAAATTAGGTAAATAACCATTTCTATATTAAATAACCATTTTTGCACAGTTTTGGATTTTTAATTATCCATGTTTTATTTACTAAATAACCAACTGTCCAGTTTGTTTATAAATAACCAATTTTCCATTCTGCCTGCATTTTGGTTATTTAATAAATAACCAATTTCGCATTTGGTTATTTAATAAATAACCAATTACGCAATTTGGTTATTTAATAAATAACCAATTTCGCATTTTGGTTATTTAATAAATAACCAATATCGCATTTTGGTTATTTAATAAATAACCAACCTCGCATTTGGTTATTTAGAAATAACCACTTTTTAATTTTTGGTTATTTGCTAAATAACCAAATTTCAGTTTTGGTTATTAGTAAATAACCAACTTTACATTTTGGTTATTTAGGAATAATAAAACTGTAATGTGGTTATTTGTAAATAACCAACATTGTTTTGGTTATATACAAATAACCACTCTAAATAATAAAAATGCATTTGGCGCCCCATATTCTCTTTTGTCTCGTTTTCACGTACCAACGAGCGCGTTTCTCTAGCGAAAACGTTCCCAGTATGTTGAGCAAAATATAAGTAACACAAATCACACAATAGCCTGGTAATAAGTAGGGCAATGACCACAAACTGGAATTAGACGTTCACATGCCACGCGCGAGTCGTACTGACACACTACCTTGAACGGCTTCAGCGCGATTTTTGGGTTCACATTTTTATGACTCATCCTGTGAGTAGACCGTTTGTTCTCGAGCCTTGTACACTGTTACAAATTTGTTGAACAGTCGAACCTCCACTAACGCCCACCTCTCTACAACGGCCACCTCTTTGGCAGACAGTCCATACTTTGACTCTCGTTTAAACCTCTCTACAATGGTCATCTCTCCATGACGGCCACTTTCTTCTGTCCCCAAGGTGGCCGTTGTGAAGAGGTTCTGCGTTCAACTATAATCGTCTTGTTTCAGTTGATCGGTGTATATATGTGTGTGTTGAAAGTTCGACTTGAAGTAATATCTTTGTTTTTCTTTTTTAGGGAAGGATTTAAATTTGATGTGAAAGAAGCTGGACGAGAAAATATTGTTGTAGAAAATGTGTTCATGAAAGTTGAATTTGACAGTTTCAGAGGCCTTCTTAAGGTAAAACGTCACAGCACTGTGCACACTTTGTATGGCTTCACTTAACACTTAACGGCTTTTTTTGCAAAATGCTAAATATGATGTGTAAGCATTGAACGTTTGTCTTCTGACTTGGTGTTTGTCTTGAGTCTCGTTTATTCTCACAACATTTTGAAGTCAAACAGCCTCAACATCGCCCCACAACAAATTTGAGGTAAGAGAGATTTAGAAATACTTTTTATAGGGTAAACGGCCCACGTGATATTCAAGTTGACGGTTTCTCGAATTGGAAAATGAGCAGTGAAGAACTGTCCTAAAGCAATGATAGAATTTTCTAGGTGGTTTTCATTACCATTGTTATCATCTTATCAATTATTTATTCAAAAACGTATTTCCTGTCGAAATTGCTAAGTGTACGGTGACTTATTTCCTATTGAAATTGGTAAGTGCACGGTGACGTATTTCCTGTTGAAATTGTTAAGTGTACGGTGCAACTCCCCACTGTAGAAACTCTAGGGAGAATGGGTACAAGCTTTGTGTGCAGTGATTTCTAGGATTGTTTGGGTGGACGAGCGTTAGTTATGATTGGTCAGTGGTATTCAAGGTAAGCATTAACCAATCACAATTAACGTTTGTCCACCCAAATGATCCCAGAAATCGTTGCGCCGAAAGCTCGTGAATAAAACGATTTATTGCATAAATCAGCTCTATTTACGAAACATAAACATGATGAACAAACTACAAGAATTCCCAAAGCAAGCGAAAAAACACATGTCGAAGAAACAAAGGGGGTGCGAACCCCTGAAGACTAACTTAGGGCCTAGTTCCCACAGGTCCGAACAATCTAACAGAAAATAAACTTTCAGTTCTGAACAGCTTGTACCCATTCTGATTCCCCGTATAGTTTCTGGAGTGGGGAACTGCATTTACATGTTTTGTCGATCTAAGGTTAAATTTTCATTTCAGAGCGTGACGCATAAGGACGATGGAAGTATGACAGAAGTGGCTATTGATTTTGCCACCTACGGCACAAAACCTTCTGGAGATAGGAGTGGTGCTTACCTGTTCCTACCAGATGGTCCTGCCGAGGTCAGTGCTTTTTGTTCTGTTGCCGAGCAGTACACACAGAGTCATATGAAATGAGTTAAATTTGCACTGAATTGAATGGAAACTTATTATCATGTATGAAAGAGTGGGATTTACATTTCCAAGTTGTGTGAAGCGCCATCTCCAAGCCTCATCAATTTCGTAGTATCTGCTTATAGAAAAAAATGCTTTGTGTTTGAGTGTCAATGTATTTAGCACGAAAGTACTAATTAGGGACCCTATTTTTAAGTCTCCAACTGGAGACGGGGCCGCCATTTTACCTGGTCATCCGAGCCACGCGAAGGTGTAGCTGTTTGCAGGGCAAAGGAAGTATTTTCATATTTGAGTTATTTCAAGACCCAGGGAATCGAACCCGCGACCTTCCGCTGAGCAGTCAAGCGCTCTACCGATTGAGCTAATCTTGGGTCTGTCGGTCAGTGGTCAGTGATTAGTAAACGTTGGTCTGCCATTCTCGATTGAAATCCACTGTACAAGTGCAGCACTTCTTCTTCCTCGTGGACGATTATTTGTTACTTCATGTTGTGACTGATTAATTTGCAGGCTCACGCCCTAGGGGAGCAACCATCGATTTACGTAAGCAGAGGAAAACTGGTAAGTGACTGGTAACAAGGACAAGGATCGAGTCTTAAAAAAACTCGAAAAAAGAAAATAAGAAAGACAATATTTAAATAGAACAAAAAATGCTAACACCAAAATTGATGGAAGACTTTTTTTAATGCTAGCGATTATAAAGTGATCCATATGGAATGGCGTTTGACTTTTACGCGCACTTTCTACAACGATATGCTTCTTTTTTCGTGAACGTTTCTTCGTAAAGATTGATTGATTTGTATCTAAAGAAACGTGCCACGTGCTGCTTCTTTGGGAGGTGAAACCGAAAATAACGTTTTTAACAACGGTGTGTAGAAAAGAATTTAAAAGTTGACTCTGTGTGTTACAGCTCTTTAAAAAATTTAAATCTTCTCTTCTCAGATGCAGGAAGTTCGAGTCGCCCTTCCTAATGTCGTTCATGTCGTCAGAATGTATTCCATATCCGGTGAGTGGTTTGTATTTATTTACACAATTGGTCACAAAGTTAATGGAGCAGGCACTGGTCATGGATAACGTGGATGTTTCCTCGGGAGGCGCGTTACATGCGAGTGTTCGCCGACCCAACTCAGGCAACAAAGAAAGAGTTGAAGTACGTGCGTGCATGAAGATTTTTTTCATTAGGGCAAATTATAGAGGAATTAATTCGTTAATCACCGACAGTAAGGAAAATACAAAAAGGCCCTTTGCAGCCGGTCAGAGAAACAAAGAAAACGCACTGGGACAAGACTGACATCATTCAAAATAGAAATTACCATTTAAATGATGCGCTCTTTGTGTTGTTCCATTGTGTTCCTTGCTTTCCAGCGAGCCAGGCCTTTTTATAGCACGTGACTGACCACCTGCAAAGGTCCCACCACTTGTAGCCCGTGAAAAGCGCGGGAAATCTCATGCAAGTAACTAAAAAGTTGGTTTTTGTTCTGATTGGTTGAGATCAGGTGCACTTTAGCCGATCACGAAGCGTAGTATTGTAATTCAACCAATTGAAAATTAATCTGAAAGCGAAAATTGACAAGTGTCTTGTTGATGGTACACTGCAGGTCCCGAAGGACGAACTTTGGATATCCAAAACAAAGTGGACATCAGGAATTTCGTGAACAAGGTAAGAAACCGCTTATTAGTGTTGTAAGGAGTTAGCTGCTTATCGACGTGTGTGTGATAGATGTGGTCATGAAATCTGGTTGCTCTTGCTAAAAGCAACTTCCATGTACTCTTGTCACTGCGTTTTCACCGATCAGTTTGTTTGTAGAACGATCGTCGTGTGCGTTTAGATTATCCTCTAGGTCTCACAAACCAGTCAGCAAAACCTACAGACCTGAAAATTGGATTTTTGACCTTTTAATGACGTTCAGTTCGTTCTCGGTTGCTTGTACTTCGAATGCACTCATAGACGGAGCGGAGCTTTCATTTTCGAGGGGGAAAGCGCTCTAAAATGCAGCTCAAAATAAACCGGTTCATGACCTAGTATGAAAGCCTCTTGCTACGGGTTATGCTGGGCTCCTGATATCAAGCAAACTTAAGCGTTGTAAATTAACATACGTGTTTTTCTGCAGGAGTTAGTTATGAGAGTAAAGAGCAACATACAGAACACTAACAGAGACTTTTACACCGACTTGAATGGATTTCAGGTTTGTTGGAAATAATATTTAAAGTATATAGATAAGGACTTCTTTTCAAATTGCTGAAGTTTCGAAAGTTAAGCTACCCAACACGTTTTCGAATATGCTGTTTTTATTTGTTTGTTGTGCGCACGTTACGAGAGTAAGGATGTCATACGGCAGGCGCTGTTTGCATTAGCGGGCTACAAGCTCAGATAATTAGAGCTGAGGTCTTGCAAGTTGCATGTTTCGAGGTCAAATCTCATTTGAGCCACTGATTTTTTGGAAAGAAGTTCGTTTTTTTCAAAACAGTTTGAGCTCTGTAATGCGTAAGGGAAGGATGTTACGACGGTTTGAAAATTTCAAAATTAACGAGTATTTGTATGGAAAACCACTCAACCGAGACCTGGTGACAGGAGGTGTTTTTCCTATACATTCGGCATCGTTGCAATCGCAGTTTCGATTACTAGCCGCTGGTCGGGAAATGAGCCCGCGCTGCTCCTTGAAAAGAGTGGATGAGGATAGCCTGTTCCAGGCGTTCAGGTAGTGGGGAGCGGTGCGAAGTAAAAAGGAGCGTGAAAAAATAAAAACAAGGGAGGGGGGGAGAGGAGAGAGTGGGAATGCCTGTTGTACCGTACCGTCCTCCCCAGTCCCCCTTCTACTTTTCCTCGCTTTCTTTACTTCGCACCCGTCCTCACAATCTGGAGGCCTGCCCTGGGACAGGCTAGGATGATGAGCAAGACTGGACTCAAAAGAGCGGCGGATTGGAAATCGCGCCTATTGTAATGGCTGCTTTTGAAATATACGGAAAAATTCAAAGGCTACCAAATCTGGTTTTTTCCCTGCCTCTTCTGTCTATATAAGTAGCAAAATACTTGCTGTTGCTTTTATTTGGTCTGTAAGGAAACCGCGTTTGAGGTTATTAACTGTAGAAGCGATGGCATCAGTGCAGTACTGTTGTTTGAATGGTTGCACAGAATGAGGCGCGTAGTGCTGCATTGTGTGACTACCGAGATTTTACAAGTTTAGTAATTAGAGTGGTTTTCGTTTGAGTGTCGTAAAACCAAAACCAAAGTAATTACTCTGGCCAATCACATAGGACACAGACAATACACTGAACCAATCAAAACTCGAAGTAATTACATGTGGCTGACGCAAAGCGTGCGCGTCACCATTGGCTTTGGTTTTACTTCTGATTGGATGAAAAGGTGGCGCGAATCTTTTAAGCCAATCGCATCGTGTAGAAAGTGCAAAACCAATTACTTTTCGACACTCAAATGAAAACCGCTCTATTCAGATTGTTACACATGAAACTTACACCAGTTTTCTTACACCTGCCTTGACGTTTTCTTTGTCTTTTTTAGATGCAAAAGCGTAAAACGATGGATAAAATACCCATTCAGGCCAATTTTTACCCTCTTCCATCCATGGCTTTCCTTCAGGACAAGTCAACTCGTTTGACACTTGTTTCGGCTCAATCCAATGGAGTGGCTGGTCTTCATCAAGGTAACTGCCGGAGTAAAATCTCGGTTTCAATCCTTGGGATTGGGTTTTGGGAGGGGAAGCAGATGTGGAACCTGTAAGCGGCATAGAAAACGGTCTCGAAACAAGTTGGTCATGACAAGTACTTTATTTCATTACAAGAAAAAAATTTGAAAACTCTTAAGGGGTAAAAAATCAAGATATAAGTAGGTACATCTAGATGTTCCCATAAAGCGAGAGAGGAGGAGGTTGGGGGGAGCTTATAACCTTTAAAGAAAAAACCCTTTCTGTTTTCAAGTAGATGGGCTCATAACCAGGAGTGTTTATGAGCAGGGGTTTAAAACTTGGTTTTACGTTAGTGATTGGAAATTTCTCGGATATACATTTTGTGATAAAATTCACAACGTTTCGACCTCTCCGAGGTCATTTTCAAAAACAGTTTAAAAATAGGGTATGGATTTCAGGGTCTTGAGCCTTAAAGGGCGTGGAGGTTAGCGATGAGCGGTCTACATTTGTGGTGCCAACAATTTTTTCCAGAAACTCTTGATTCCATGTTTGAAAATTGGACCAATCAGGGTTATAAAATAATGTCACTTGTCTTAAGAAATGAATAGTTTTTGTCTTTTCTCATGCGTCCTTGTGCTCTTTGACAAGTGGAAAGCATGCTTACCAAGAAAGCAGTAATACGAAAGCAATTTTGTCTTTACAGGTGAATTTCAAGTTGTTCTTGATCGTCGTTTGTACCAGGATGACAACAGAGGCCTGGGTCAGGGAGTGACAGATAACAAGGTCACTCCAGCTAACTTCAGACTTGTGGTGGAACGATTTAAGACTCCAAATCAACCTGTAAGTACAGCTGCTCATCAGACGATTCGCGACGACGATTTTTAGCGCAACACAGCATTGCAACATTGTTTCGACATTGTTTCGAATAGTTAAAACATTGTTCCAACATTGTAACGCTGTGTTGCGCTAAAACTCGTCGTTGCGAATTGTCCCGTGCATGTAACATCACCGTTAAGCATCAACGACGGCGACAGCTTCGAAAACGACTTTTAAAAAGTGAAGTCGTGCTACTTCAAACTTTATTCCGCTTATTCCACAGCTCGTTCAATTCGTCAAATGTTGGCAATTGTTTTCTGGAATTGAACTCTAAAGGACTGTATTGAAGTTCAGGAAAAGAAAAAGAAAGTCATTGTCTTGTGTTCACGCTCTAATTAGTTTCGTAAGGTCCCTATTGAAGCGCGCTCATGGTTAGAAATGGAAAATGTTACAATGTACATTCTTTAAATTCTTTTGTCTCACAGAATGGTAGTCCAGTAGCGTACCCCTCCCTCCTTGGGCACCGAATGTTACATCATTTAAACCATCCGCTGTTTACACTGTTCGCTGCCTCTGAATCCTCCGACTCCGAAAATCTGTTGTCAGATTTCAACGGTCTACAGTCGGAGCTACCTAATGATATCTTCATGGTCACTTTGCGTTCGGTAGCGGATAAACAGCGGCCTCGTCCCAGCGGCGAGGCTCTGTTGGTGCTTCATCGAGAAGGATATGATTGTAATTTTCAATGCAAGTGTCTAGCAAAAACAAGCGCAGGACAGGTAAGTAAATAATTAGAGACCTTTAGATTCTAAGACTAGGACGACTTTGAGAAGTGAAGTGAAATTCTTATTGTGGAGTATTTGCACGAAATATTTTCGTGTGACGATACAAATGAAATATTTTTAGACCTTGACAGCGTTCTTAATTGAAAAGATTGCGACCAACAGAGAATGAAATAAAACAAGTGCGTCGTCTGTCAAACGTCAGACAAAATCGTCTTTTCTTCAGAATTCTAAAGATGTGAGAGGCATGGCACCTCTAGTGTTAGGGAATGGGGTGTTTTGGACTGTGTTTGCAAACGCAAGGGACGACTTGAATCCTTGTTGAATATGACCCATTGAAATGAAAGAGCAAATTGCTTTTGTGTTTACAAGAGAGATTTGGGGAAAGGGTATCTTGATTTTACTGAGTTTGAAACGTATTATTTCCTTAGAAGACTTTTTGGTGTTTCTTACTCGGCAGGTCCAGTTAAATCACTTGTTCAAGAACCTGTCCATCGACAGACTCCAGTCCACCTCCCTGACAATGTTGCACGAGTACCAGGAACTGGATCCCAGCTCTCCGCTAAAAGTAGACCCTATGGAATTGTACTCTTACAAAATGAGGCTGAAGTGAAAGTGGAGTTTCCTAGTAACGTTATGAATGTTTCGTGGTACATGAGCAACTCAAGGGATGCATTCGTCCCCAGTTAAAACCGTGGTTTACTGGCGGGCAAGGTTTAAGTGAAAGAAAGGCTGGAACAAGTTTTTAACTATTTTCTCGTCAGTAGCAGAGGTAGATTCTAGATTTTGTACCGTAGTCCGTAGATATAGCACACTTAGCTAAACAGACTATAAAAATAATTCAGTGTTAAACCAATTTTTCATAAGAGCAAATAATAATAAATGAAGCTAACGAAGGAAAAGCAAAAACGACGAGGAGAAGGGAAAAAGCAGTAACAATGACTACAACCACAACAAAAAAGAAGGACAAGAAGAGAGTGTAAAAAAATTGTATATTAAAATTTGTTTAGCCACAGACTACTTAGGAGTTNAGATATAGCACACTTAGCTAAACAGACTATAAAAATAATTCAGTGTTAAACCAATTTTTCATAAGAGCAAATAATAATAAATGAAGCTAACGAAGGAAAAGCAAAAACGACGAGGAGAAGGGAAAAAGCAGTAACAATGACTACAACCACAACAAAAAAGAAGGACAAGAAGAGAGTGTAAAAAAATTGTATATTAAAATTTGTTTAGCCACAGACTACTTAGGAGTTTTTGTGAACTCTTTGAAACGTGTCCGTGCGTTCCAGATCGAATTGGAATTTGGAAGTGTTGGCTTTTAAGTGCAAGTTTTTTCAGCGGTGAAAAACGCAAACCGGGGAGAGAACTATACAAATTTTAGACGGGGTATAATAATTATGTCAATATTATATTTCAATATGAACTTGATGGAGAGATGATTTTTCATAAAATATAGGATCTCACAAGCACAAAGATTTCACCTGAAGAAAGAAAGATCTCTAACAGAAATTCTCAACACACTAAAGAATAACAATTGTACAAGTTAATCGCAATAGATATAGCTGCCTCTCACGAAGGCGAGATGGGAGTAGCCTGCGTACCAGGCGCCGGTGTTGTGAGGGCGAAGGGAGAAATTTCAAGGACGTGCGCGCGCGCGAGGCAGGGGAGAAAAGGAGTGGAGGGGCCTTCCCCTCCCCTTCTCTCACCGGCCCCTGCTACACAGGCTGGATGGAAGTGAATGTGTCGTTCACTGGCGCCATGCTGATTTTTCGTTGTAAAATTAAAGGAGTGTCAGCACATAGACTGCGAGCAGTTCCTCAGGATAATCTCGTCCCCAGACCCTGTGTCCATCTTAGCCGGCGAAGCCTGGGCACAAGGTAGTCCTCGATCTCAGGCTTCACCGACTAAATGCATGGGACAGGAAGACAGGAAGCTAGTGCTATCCTCGAAGACTGGACTGCTTGCTCATTAACAGGACTACCAGTCTACAGCGCGGAAGGCATTTTGTTTGCGTGGAGTTCCTCATTTTCCCCCGAGCAGAACAGTTTTTGCTTGCAGTTCAATTTTATCTACTCGCTATCAACTCGGACGAACGCAGCAGGAAAATAGGGCATTGTTCGTGGTCTAAAAAGGTCAAAGCTCTGAAGGTGTACCGCGAATTTGACTCGGCAAAAACAACTGACGACAAATGAATGCAAATTTTGAACTTTGAACAACGCTTCCTACCCATGTAATGGTGGTTTTGACTGAGAACTTCATCACGCTATCTAGCCTGCGCGGCAGGCGCAAGAAAGGGAGGGGAAAAGGAAGTGGGGAAAAGGGTCCCTTACCATCTCTCCTAGTCCCCCTCCTTTTTTCCCTTCCTCCCTATCCCCTACCCCTTTCAACGCCTGCTACGCAGGCTACACCCTATTGGAACCCCATATCATACATGTTGGGCGTACCCATTTTTAGTAGTTTAACTATGTATGAAATTCATTCAAAACATTCTCAGGGAAGAAATAAAACTCTGCAGTTAAGCAACTTACAGTTTTCTCGAGCAGTCTGTTATTAGCAAAAAATGGTACCAGCCGGCGCTGAATCGCCTGCGTGCCTCTATCGCATCCTAAAAATAGGAGAAACTTAGGGCGCGTCTCTTGGAAAAAAAAGAAGCCGTATTCTTGAATCCTAGCAGATTTTGTGTTTCATTATTTAAATCCAACCAAAGGGATCAGTTGAATGTAAGAATCCAGCCTCCGAATAGATTCTTTAAATCAAACCTATATCCGAAAAATTTAAGATTTATGATAGGGTAAGGATCCGAAAAGGCGCACCTGACAAGCTTTTTTCTCTGTGGAAGCAGTAGGCTTGCTACCTTCTGCCAGTTCGCGCCAGTATTGCTGTCAAGCTTAAGAATCAATTTTCGGATTTTTACTTCTTTACGCGTAACGAATCGACCCAAAGAAATTTTAAATCGATTCTCGCAAATAGGCGGCCTCTGAATTTTCTCTTGTCGAGTGACATCCTTCATAAGAAATCAAGAGATTATCACTTTGTAATTAACCGATAAACATTTCTCAAACACCGCACGCATGGCACGTAGCCTGCGTGGCACCTTTACGAAATTTTATCATTATAAGAGCCAAGAGAGAATGAGCTAGTGAGAGTTTATTATGGTGAAAAACAAAATTAAAACAAAACGTGCGGAAATCTCTCGAGTCACTACATTTTTTCGCATTTTCTTACTTCACAAGCAAGTCCCCTGAACATTTAAAATTCCAAAAATAGCAGCTCAGGAAGGAAAAATGGTCAAGCCGTTATTAACTGGAGGAAATAGAATCGCCGAGTTGACGAGTACGGGACACGTGGACCGGTATGTGTGGTCTTCATCGCCCCATTTCGCCCCAGGATATTTTGATCAGCATGAATGAAAACATTTTTCTCATCGACTACCTCTTTCAACACCCAGTTTTACGTACGTAAGCGCATCGTTGACCTTTAATTTCTCTCGGAATTTTTATCAGTTTAACAGCAGCATAACAAGGTAGGGTAATTAATTTTTTCCATAACATTTTATTGAGGAATGTTTACCGTCCCGACTATTCCAACAACGAAGACACTACAAAGAGAGAATGTAAAAGTAGTTGGGATTTTCAATTTGAGAACTGCATAAATTGTTTAAAGAGAATTTTCGTAGGTTGGTTGGCCTCGCCCAGATGGGAGCGGCTCAAAACAGCATAGATCATAGAGAGACGATAGGTCTGCATCACCCAATTCTCTATTGATCACATCAAACGTCGACTGCATGTGTCATTTNCAGCATAACAAGGTAGGGTAATTAATTTTTTCCATAACATTTTATTGAGGAATGTTTACCGTCCCGACTATTCCAACAACGAAGACACTACAAAGAGAGAATGTAAAAGTAGTTGGGATTTTCAATTTGAGAACTGCATAAATTGTTTAAAGAGAATTTTCGTAGGTTGGTTGGCCTCGCCCAGATGGGAGCGGCTCAAAACAGCATAGATCATAGAGAGACGATAGGTCTGCATCACCCAATTCTCTATTGATCACATCAAACGTCGACTGCATGTGTCATTTCCAGCGTCGATACAAGCTTTTCCTACGGTGCTTTGGCATATTATTATTCACCGAAAAGGCTCCCGCTGAAATACACTTAGTGGAAATTATTGCAATCGACGTCAGATTCTGCAAACCATTGTATAAATAACCTATTCTTATGGACAGGTCTAACGAAGGGAAAACAAAGAGAAACCACGCCCAGAGTCGTTTAAGAAGCCGGTAAAACTCTTGGTTACCGGTTACAGGTCAGAATTCATTAGACATGCAGTTTTTTAGGTAATACACTGTAAAAAGCTCATATTTTCTTAACAAATTGTATTCATTTGGTATTTTATGAGAAATGTTCTGAATTCTTCTCTATAAAGTTCTTCCCAAATTATGTCAGTATCTCCTATTTGCTCGAGCATTTTAGGCTCACGTTTTGTAAATTCCGAAAAACAATCGAAAAGTTACGGAAGTTTTCACCTAAAACATGATAAATGGTTTCACTGCTCCTTGAAAACCTGTTTCAAGAGGGCGATAAGAAAAGCCTTTGGCCAATGAAACTCGAAAATAGATCGTACTCAGGGTTATCGTTCTCCTCACATAGTAATTTACAAGAGGCAAATGCTAACAGTTTCCTGAGTTCTGCGAAATTCGCTTGAAAAAAGTTTACAGTTAAGCTTTGTAACATGTTTGTAATTTGACTGCGTTTGGCCTAATATAGCTGACGATTCAGGCCATTTCAGTAACATCAGCTAATATCGATCAATATCCATAGTTATGTATTAAGGTACCGAATCAATCCTCTGCATCGTTAGGATTGAGCAGATCAGTGTCATACAATAAATCTAGAATAAATGACACATGGGTGTATTCACTGACGTTTACGTGTTTGAATGACGAGACACGCCTCGAGGAGTGCTATATCCAAAAACGCCTTAGTGAATAATTTTGTGAATTGTGAGCGATTTATGGTTGAAGAGATTCTGTTTCTCAAGAAATCTCTTTATAATTAAGTTTAATGCAAATTTTCCAAGCGATGCGTTTAAGGGAAGTCAGTTAAGTTCAATATCATTCAATTTGAGAGTATTTGAATTCCCGGGGGTACTCCAGGGAATTCTTGCTGGGGATGTGTCGCCCGATTCTCCTAATCCTAGAGAAACCACTGCTCGCAGGGTACCTAATCCTGACCCCATTTTCAGAACTGGCCTCTAAAATCCATACCAATTCTCAGACCTGTCCTTCAAGAAATTATGTCATAATTACTTAGATTAGAACAGCAGCAAAAAGGATTTCTTAAAAGCCATTTCGAATTCGCATATTTCTCTTTCTTTGCTGCTCATTTGGAATTGAAACAATAAATACTTTCGTACACTCTCGAAGTTCCCTGGAAAACCATACCCGATTTTTTATTCCGGACCAAAATAAGGAAAGTCTACAGCCGTTTTCAGACCAAAACGGCGCAAAAACCCTGCCCTTTGGGGTGGCACATACCTATATGGCTTATATAAGGGAGTACCCCCCGGGCTTGAATGGCACTTGCTGGCACAGACAGTCCTTCGTTCATTCGAGACAACCTAGTGAAAGGTCAATAAAAAAAAAATGGCAACAGGCTTGATCTTTGATAAAAATTAAATGTTGGAGAAAGCCAGAGACACAGCTCAAATCTATCAACTTCCCAAATTGTTATTTTTCAGAGTGTTGATTTTGTAGAGATTTGTGATAATCCCCCGGCCAAGTGGGCGTTTCTTTTGTTGATCGACAAGCACTATGAAATAGTGTCACGCCTCTATACACATGTAATGTGAGCAGAACTTCTAACCACGACGGAGGTGTTTCCTGACAGTGGTGGAAATATCGTTTTGGGTTTATGACGTTCGGATTCACCAATCCATTTTTCTTACTGCACTGAAGGAGCATCATTTTATATTTTTTATCTCTTTCTTGGGTTTATTTGGCGTGTGTACGAATTAAAAGGAAACGTTTTGAAAATTGAAAGAATCATCTCAAGGAATCGCAAAGCGGAACACCATATAATCGAGGTGAGTCAACGTACAATTACAATGCGTTATTTGACGTGTGTTAACAGAAGGTTCCTCATGACTCACTTAAGTATTGTAGAATCAGTCTAAAGGGTTCAAAGGATTTGTGTTTGGTGCTCTAATGGAATAAGCCTTTGCACATGTCAGTCAAGAGCACACTTTGTTCTTTGTTATTGAGAAATCGGTCATTTGTCACAGCTCACATGCACCGCTCATAGCTAGGTTAAAAACGTTTTCAGAAAAGACTTTTCGACCATTTTTTCGGAGAATGTCGTAGATGAGCTGGCTTTCCAAGTGTTAAGCGACCTGTTGTTACATATTTCTGCGCTTCAGTGCCGTTGACGCCATTTTTATGTAACCGACAATATAACCAAGAGACAAACGCGCGCCGAGTACTTGCGACAAATTTATCTGTTACAAATCCACAGGTGTTTCATTCAGGAACAGGCACGATAGATTTGGCGATAAATTGTAGCGCTGATCCCTTTATTTAGCCAGGAAATAAAGGAAATCTTTCGAAATATTTTACATAAAAAATATTACCGTGCGATAAATCGGGCTCAAAANGTTACATATTTCTGCGCTTCAGTGCCGTTGACGCCATTTTTATGTAACCGACAATATAACCAAGAGACAAACGCGCGCCGAGTACTTGCGACAAATTTATCTGTTACAAATCCACAGGTGTTTCATTCAGGAACAGGCACGATAGATTTGGCGATAAATTGTAGCGCTGATCCCTTTATTTAGCCAGGAAATAAAGGAAATCTTTCGAAATATTTTACATAAAAAATATTACCGTGCGATAAATCGGGCTCAAAATTTCTTGTGGTTTGTGTCAAAAGGTTCCTTTGTGTTCAAACAAACACAAAAGCGGCAACATGATTTGTTCCCCCATGCATGTCGTTTTCACTGTTTATTTCGATCTGTGTCATGCTAACTTCATGCCAGCAATTCGTGTATTTTGCCCAACAGAAGAGAACAAAACTTTCACGCACTTCGTTCTGCAGTGTTCGCACGATGAGTTTTTAATTAGATAACCGAGCAGCATTGGAGGAACCTTGTTGATATTTGATAAACACGATTCTTGTGCCACATGTCGGCTTGATCAAAGATTCTTGAATTGTGTTTACAAAACTTTTAACTGTTTTCTCTTTGCATGCCCGGGGAGAAGAAAAAATTCAGCTTCTCTCACCAGATTCGTAACAAGGATTTAATTTCATTTGTTTGTCTTTGTCATTTTACGAGTGAAAATTGGCTTTGCTTTCAAGCACGATTTTATTATTTCCGGTGGTTTTGGAAATTTTGTGAAAAGACTGCGAAGATTTATAAAGATTTCGTGACTTCCATAAACAACGGCAATTTCGATCGGATTGATCGGCCAGTCGGCAGGTGTTGACCGTCTGATTTTGGTGTCACTGTTTTTCCTGTTTGGCTCTTTCTTTTTTTCTTTTTGTCTGCACGTGTCGTAATTCCCATCATTTGTGGAAGAACAGAGGAGGAAAGCTGCTACGCATTTTTCTGGTTTTATAAACAGCCCGCATAGTCCTCATCTATTTCTCAAAATTCAGGATACGAAGATGACAACTTTTTGTTTTGACTCAAAAGCTCTGTTGACTGCCCGTCTTAACAGCGACTTTAGCTAATAAAGCGGTATCTTGCGCAAGATTTCTTTAATATCTCCGTAAATGGCACGTTTTCCAAAAGACAAAACAATCCTTTATTCGGGTACTTTGAGACCTCAAGGAGCGTAGGTGAAATAGCCCTCGGCTAAGTCTAATTGCACTTACCTGTCAAATGTTTTTTCTGCAACTGGCATTAAGAAAATTGGTTGTGCTGTTAACTAAAGGCATTTGATAGTTAAAACAATTTGAGAGATACATCGACGGAGGGAAAGTTTTTGTTTTGGACGTATTTTTTCGCTGTTCAATGCGATATGTGTTGACAGTAAGTTTTTGTCATGTCACCAAGCCATTTTGTTTCCAATTTGTGTCAAATTTGTTTGAAGCATCTGATTTGCTTCAGGCATGCTGTCGTTTTTATTTGAACAATGAACACAAAAAAGTTTGCCATAGATGAATATTAAAGAAAAAATGCTTGAAACAGTCACATTCCTAAGATCAAAAACATCAATTTCACAATTCAAGTAATTTAATCCGCCCTTCTTGCCGAAAATTAAGGGGATTACAAATTGTCGGTAATTGAACCGTGAACAAACAAGAAAACGGAAATGGGACATTTACATTTTGTTTTAAATATCTTTTTGTAGGTTGTCACTGATCTTTTCCTTTGATCCCTTATTATTTGTTGTTTATACAACGGAAATTTTTGACTTTCCGGTGCAAATGGAACAGAATGATTTAATTTACACCGGTCCGTAGCTAGAGGTTTTGCTAGAAAGACTTGAGTGAATTGTTTTTATTCTCTCTTTTATCAAACTTTTCATCATAAGAGAGCCACAACAATGGACCTTTTAGCAGTTAAAGTGGTATTGAAGACCACTTCTAAATTTCAAAGCAAACACCTCCTCGCTGACCTGATAATCATCAAATCGAAACTCCAGAAAACGGCATATTTGCAGTAGTATTGTTTTAAGAAGAACAGGAGCCAACTTAACAATGGAAAATATAGATTTTAATCGGAGTAGCACTTGTAAATTAAGTCTATAAGAAGCCATAAATGGTACAAAACTTTGTTGCCAGAATTATTTTTTGCGACATTCCACAATACCTGCTATCTTCTTGATACAAACATTGAGCTTTTTCTCTAAATTAACACCACAATTTTAAAACAAAAATAAATATTTAGGGGCCATCAGGATGTGCCCTTCAAAACAAACCATAGAATAAAAATATTTTGAGACCTTGAAAAATTCTTGAAGGTTTTGCATGATTAATTTTGATTTGTGCAGGTCTGCCAAAAAAAATTCTTTTTTTTTTTTAGAAAGGACATGATAGAATTGTGATTGTTAATAATAATTTTTTAAGCAGGTGGCTCGAAGAAAAAATCCAAGGTAGTAAAAAAAATTGTTGTGCCGAAGTTCATCATCCTTCCAGTCCTAGCAATATGCAAGGTGTTTGTCACATGAATCTAATAGCCCACGTTTGATATATCAAAATTCTAACGTGATCACTCCCAGGCTTTCTGGTCATATTACTATATTTGGTTTGGTTTTCTTTGTACTCTAGTCTCTCCGGGGATTTGCAAGACAATGGAGTCATGAAAAAATTGCAATTTTGTTCCTAAAGCCTCAGAGTCATGTTAGAATTTTAATGTTATTTTTATATTGAACGTGGGTTATTTAGTGGACTTAGCTCCCTAAGTCTCCTGTAGCTCAGTGGTAGAGCATCTGGACTAGTCAGCAACCAGAAGGTCATGGGTTTGACTACTCTTGGAAGTACTCAGGTTTTTTTCTTCCAAGCTGCCTGTGTTACTGAATGAAATAAACATCTTTCCTTTAGAAAGGACACATGTCCGACCAGCTGGTCACCATTTCAGGCGGACAAACCAGAAAAATTATAGGAGATTCATTACCTGGACCTTTTATTTTATTTTTTAATGATTTAAAATGACAGCCTTAATTAGTATTTGATCTGTCCGGTTATTATGTCTGGCTGCAAGTAGGATTTTTTAGGGCCGGCTTGAGCAAATTTAAAGTTGGACATTGTCCGATGATTAACAGTAGTGTTAACTGGCTCAACTTTTCATGTGACCATTCACACACAAGCATTTCAGTGTAAAGCACTGAAAACATTGACTGTTTTACTTCAGAATGCCCCTGGCTTTATTTGGTATATTTAACTGACCTGATCTTGAAGTCGTCATTGATACAAAATATTTAATCTGGTTGGTTTTTCTTTGGTGCAAGATAAAGATAGCAGGAGCCCCACGAAACAGGGGCAAATAAACAGTGTGTTCAGTGGAGTGGAGCTTTAAAAATCTCATGAGAAAATGGAGTTTATGATTGGAAGAGGCTTATGTTGGTTTTCGTAGAGGTAGCATGTATGTTGTGCATTTACCGGTAGCTTGCTCATTTCACTGAATTATTAAGCACTTCTATTAAAACTTTCATATGCATGGTTTTTATTGATATTATTTGATGTTGTAAGAGGATCAGTTTTTATGTCCCATCATGTTTTTTCAGGTGTAAATTTCATTTTAATTTGTTTTCATTTACTAAAATGTTTATTGCTATGTGGTCATGTTACAGTTTGTCTGTTGGGGTACAGTGTCTGTGAAGCTGCAGATATTAAACCTGAAGAGACTAGGTCTTTGAGCTGTCTCTGATTGTATGGGCAATAGGGAATCAGTCAAGACTATATAATAAATTTTTATTCTCTGTCAGAAAGAGTGAAAGTAGCAGATTTTTTGTGAAACATTTTGAAGTGAGCCCCACTTATGACATTCCAGAAAATGGAAGGAAGTATTATTAATTGCATGGAGAGTATTTGCATAGTGTGCTATTTCTGTTTTTGATAACACACACTTACTGTTTTAAATTCATTACCTTCAGGTGAGCTGATTCCATTCACTGTTCTCTTCAACAAGGGACACACCAACTTGGTGTTGATAGACTCTCTAACAACAAGATGGGAGAAATGTATGTGATAATAACAACAAGAAACATTCTATGGATGGTACTATCTTTAGTTGCTGCTTTAGCAGTCATCGTTGGGATCATGACACCTAAGTGGCTATATGGACGTGCAGAACCATTTGTGGGTGACTTGAAGGTTAACTCTACAAAAGATATCAACTCTGACTTGTGGTACCAACCTTCCATTGGGATTTACAACCGCTGTAGAAAAATTCAAAGATCCATTGGTGGTGATCCTGAGTTAAACTGTTATAAATATGCCAGAAGCTTCATGGAGATACCTTCAGCAGCATGGAGGGCTTGTCTGTTTTTTCTCTGTTTGGGAGCATTTCTTCTAGGAGTTGTTGCATTAATGTCATTAATCGGATTCTGTGTGCAAAGTGTTGGAAGGAAGTCTATCTTCTCACTTGGGGGAGTGATTCAAGCAATGGCAGGTAATTTCACCATTTAGTTTAATGAATATGCTTGAAGCAAGGTTTTAGCCAGAAGAGTGTCCAACCGTCCTACGGACACCCATTTTTGGAAGAAATATAAGAAAAATCCACCTAATCTCTTATAATTTTATGGGAAAACATCCCTTCTAGACGGCCAGGTTTTAATTTCTGGCTAAGGGCCTAGCTTGAGGTCAAAGTAAATAGCAATTTTTAAACCCCCACCTCCATATAAAGTGGAACTGGTGTCTAAAATCCTGCCATGTACAAAAGTCTTTGGGACAGTAATGCAGTATTTGGTTTAATGTTCTGAAATTTCTGGGTTCCCTGTCATAAAATTCTCAGTGCATCCTTTTGGAAATTTTCTTGTGGTTCTTCCTTCCCCACCCTATACAAAGTTAAAACCAAGCAAAAATTATGGATGCACACATTCATTGTTGTTTGTGGGGTAAGGGGGAGGTTGGGCATGTGTGAATTAATTGAAAAACGCCCCATTGTAAAAGTGTCATAAGACTTTAGTCCATGATTATAGGCTCAGGTGGACAAAACTGGGGAAAAATTGACCGTTGAATGCACAGAATTCATAAAAAACTGCTAACTAGTCAGCGGGGGTGTATATAGGCCTTTAGAAATATAAGGATATGTATGATTTCATAAATCATTATAACTTATTTGACAAAAAAGAATGCTAGAAATTTTGACTCTATAAGGTTATTCAAAACTGTGAAGGCACCCTTCTGCCATCAAACCCAAATCAAAATTCAGAAGCAGCGAATCATGAATAATTGAAACCAAGTGGTCATAATTACAATATTATTCGAGATTTTGATATTATTGTAATGCTGGCATTTATCAGACACTTCTTGCCTTCGTAAAGACGCAGTGGAGTATATCATTTGATTTTTTACTACTATCATGTGCTTGATTTCTGCCTATCTTTAAAAAAATCATTAGTTTGTTTTACTTCTGTTTCTGCAGCTCTCTTTCTCGTCATTGGACTCATTCTTTATCCAGCTGGTTGGGGCAGTAAAACAATTGATGAATTGTGCACTCGACCACTTATTCAGAAACCTGGAGTGTTTGTAATCAATGATTGTTCACTTGGATGGGCTTTCTTTGTGGTGCTTGGAGGGACACTGTTGTCATTTCTGTGTTCCTTGTTATCATCTCAAGCAGAGAAGTCCACGTCAAGTGATGATGTTCAGGACCAGATATCTGATGGAAGGACAGTGATCTGTTTAATTTAGAGCAACTACATACTGTTAACATGGCATGGCAAGAGACCTTCAGGACTTGCTAAGCTGGTTAAGTCCTGCTAATTCAAATAACTAGATAGATGAACATGGGCAATCATGGGCAGTCAGGGCTAGGGAGTCACTGGAAGCTTACAAGAGTAATAAGTCTAAAAATAGCCACCAATCTGCACCTTAAGTCATGCACCAAGTTAAAACAGGGGCAAATCCCCCCATTCCCCTTGCTATGCCAGATGCCCTTAATCCCTTATGGTGTAAATTTTTTTTTCTCAGCAGAACCCCCCTCTCCCCACCCTGCACCTGTTCTGCCCCTGGTCTAGGACAAGCTTCCTTAATGCATGGTAGGGACTGATTATTTGTTTTACGGCTGCACCGGTGCAAGTGGTTTGTTCCAGATGTTTTTATGGGAAATTAATTCAACAATATTTCAGTGCACCACATTATTAGGAGAAGTTATACAGAAATGTTGCTTTAATCATGTGCTGATAAAGGTTTTAGTATTATTATTATTGTTATTTCAGTATTTATGTGCTGTTTGGTGAAGATCAAGCGGTTACTGAACCATTATTATTAATTTTTTAAGTTCATTTTACATTAAATAAATTAACCCTTCTCTTTCTGAGTTTTTCTAATGGTTTTGTTTGATTTTTGAAGTTGCTGCGTCCTTTGTTTCTTGCAAGCTTTCAAGAGAGAAAAAAGGATTTTTTAAGTAACAAAGTTTTTTCGAGTTGAGTTATTTAATGTTGAAAACAGTTAAGAAATTGATGGGGGCAAGGGGGTGAATTTTGTAGCTCTTGGATTTGTGCATGATGCTGATATAAACTTGTTCAGTTTTAAAAACTTAATTGCCTACCATTTTTGAGTTTATTAGCTTAGCTGGGTCAGTATTTTTTTACGATCACTTGCCTGATGAGCAGCTCAGCCCTGCCAGACAAGTTGGTTTTACACAATAAAGCAGTCGAAGACAAGTGTTCAGCAACTCTACTAAGCTAGAAAAATGTGAGGGCAGCTTGTCCAAAGCCATGGCAGTTACATTACTAAAGGGCTAGGGTTGGGGATTTTTCCTTGTCACTTTGATAATTTAATCAGAAGCAAATTAAATTATTATAAAGGAAAATAGAGCCAAGAGAATTGCCTTGCTGTTCAATGTCACGCTAAGTGCCCTTCTAAATGTGCCCATGAGTCAGAATGTAAATTGAAAGTCTAGTCAAGATTTAAATGATTCAAAATTTTGTAAATTATAGTTAAAATGTTATTGTAAATTTAAGGAAAATGTTAATATCTTTTTTGTGGTTTTTTGTTTTATTTCAGTGGCGGATCCAGACCTTTAGATAAGGGGGTAGGGGTAGGGGGGAGGGGGGGAGGGGGCAGTCTTACAAAAAATTTTTGTGGGCCCCTTGGACCTCACTTTGGTCCAAAAATAAGAGGGGGGCATGCCGGGGCCCCCTGGGCCCCTCCCCTGGATCCACCACTTTATTGCATTTTCAGGGGAGGTGGTGTTTGCCGTTTCGAAGTTGAAGTTGGTTTGTTTGAACTTAATTAGTGGAAAACTGACGCCCTTTGTATTTTAAGTAGTGTTGTGTACTGCGTGAGATGTACATAGAATAAAATATTTGTAGTTTCTATCAAATGGTAATAATATTTAGAGTTAAGTCACAATTGTTATGTAATTAATTAAGAAATCAATTGTTTTGGAAAAGGTATTTGTCTTTATCAAGCAATTTTTTTTTTCAGTTGGCTGGTTTGGTCACAAATATTTCAGAAAAAGTTTTATGGTTATATTAATTTTGTGATGATTGGTATAGTTTGTTGACTAGATTTTGTCTCTTTTTTGCTATTTTTACATAAACTTTGGACTTGTAAAGTTAAAGATTGTTCAAGAAACCATGTCACAAAGTTAGGTTTTAATAAAAGATCTTTGTCTCTGTTGCTTATATTCACATTATGATGACCGATGATGCCACTTTGGTACTGGCTATAACCTAACTCCTCAAAATTCTTTGTCTCCATCAACATCATTTAACAGCGGTTTACGGTCAATTTGCCCGAGAGTCAAGTCGCCCATAAGCGACCACCTTTCCTAAACACATTAATTCCCCACTGAATTAAATTACTTTGGAACCTCTCGTGAGCGACCGCGAACGCATTTTGGGGAGGCACTTCGAAAATTTTGCATTGTTTTTACTGCGCTGCTCAGAGTGACAACACCAAGCTTAACACATCGTATCCCCCTTGCAGTAGATTTTCCCTTAAAAAAGTTAGCTTATTTACAAGTCGGAAAAGACCCCCTGTGGTTTACAACAAGAATAGAGAAGAATAAAAATATATAAATATTTATGAATGAGCAGAGAAATTAATTGTGCATTAATAATTACGCTTAACCTTATCTGTATTTAAAATTGTTTTATACAACACTAAGTTTGCTTTTGCTGACTTGTGAAAAAACTAGCATAACTCACCTTTTTAAAGGTGAGCTTTCAAAAACTCGTTTTCATCCACGGGGACGGCTTCTGATAACCTGACACCAGGCCCAATTTTAGTGGTTCTCATACATTCTCTCACCTTGCCCGCCAGAATGTTATTTACAAAGCGAAACGAAAATTGAGCCTGATCTCAGGTTAGCTTCTGATGACTCTGATGGTCCTCTAACATTGTCTAATGGTATGTAGACGAAAACGAAAGGAGGACCTGTGTGACCGATTCGGCCCTGGAACGAGGTCGTACTCCACACAAAGGCGACCAAAAAAAAAAGGGGCGGGAAAGACGTCAGACCTTAGACCGGCTACTCGAGGTGAAATTATTTCTGACGAACAGTTTTTGCTGCTTTACGATACCCTTGGTTCAAATAATTCAGATTTTCCCTATGGATAACTGCCAACGGTTTTCATTTTATTCCACGAACTCCGCGCGGAGTTCAAAGGAGAGTTATTAAAGTTGCAAGTCGTGCAAGTGGTTTGTAATGTGTTTGCACGTCTATGATTGGTTACTTGTTGTCGTTGTTGAATCTAACCCCTCTGTACACTTTTGTGTCCAAGAAAGTGATCTCTTTAAATGAAGGATGATCATCGCAGTAATACGTAACTTTTGCAGTTGCGAAAAGAAAGCCTGAAAAAAATTCAGGCTTGTACCACGGGATTCGAACCCTTAACCTCTGCGATACCAGTGCAGCGCTCTGTCAATTTAGCTGTTGCTGTCATCTCAGCCATGAATTTTATGGCCGGAGTGACAGTTATTTGACTTTTCCACAAAGCTCTCTCTTTTGTTTACTTGTCTAGACTTGTGTTCCATAGGCTCATTACCCTCGGTGCCAGAGACTTTTCATGCGCGGCGTCCGGTTTCGGTAAAGTCTCAGTATAGGGACCCAAGCAAACTCTGTTTTCTATTCTGGCCATGAAAATGTCCCCGGCGGGAGGGCGTCTCTCTTCTGTTCGTTGTGGTACTACGTAGTGCCTGCGTATCGCCGGCAGCGTAGCTCTGCGAATAAAGTACAACCAAACATGTTTTTAAAAACTTTATTTTTCGTGTTATATTATTTAATACTTTCTGGAAATTTTTAAGGCTCGGAAATTCGGCATGGGAATTTTTGGGGGTTAATTTTGATCCAGGGACTTTTTTGGATTTTATTGAAAGCCTTAGGGATTGTCTTGGGTTTTGTTTTTTGCTCCTATTAGAACATCCCCGTCGGCCCGGGCCCGT